ACATCAAAAATGCCCAAAAAAAATAAAAAATTCTAAAATTTTATTATAATTTAAATAAAGTTCATATAAAATATTTTGAGTTTGAACCGGAGTAAAATTTAATCGTTTTGAGGGGAAAACAGACCTGAAAAAAGGGAGGCGTGTGGCACAACGTGGGCCAAGAATTAAAATGTATAAATATGGAGCAAATATCTGATTTTGGGACATTTTCTCTGCTGGATCAGACGTTGAAGAAGAAGAAGAAAAAAAACAAAAACTTCAACCTTCTCTCGCAGATTCGCGGAGTTTCGTCGGTTGGAATCCCTCGGACCAAGATTTAAAATCGATCACCGAGACGAGGGCTACGCAACCACACCAAAAACGAAGAATTTCACTGAAGTTTTAAATACGATATTTTAAAAAAATCAAGATTCTTGGAGCTAGGGAGGTGTCTTGAAGTTTTCTCTCTTTCACTTTACGCTCCAAGAGATAGGGTTCTTCCTACTTTGGTTTATTTATAACCTAAAGTATCCATAGGGTTTATGTGGGTTATTTTGGGTATTTTTAGCATTTGCCTATTATAATTGGTTTAATGGAAATGGATAGGCTCAATTCTAGTGTGAATTAGTAATTAGAAATTATTAATTTATGATTTCTTGGAAGTTTTGATAATTGGGCATGTGAAAATTATTTATTCTGATTTTTTTTTGAGTTATATGATGAATTTGAGTGTATTATGTGTTTACATGAGTGGTGCCTTGAAAGTGTTTGATTAAATGCCTAGGTGAAAATTAAGTATGTTTTGCATGGACTATGTATAGCATGCTTGGATATTGTGTTGGATGAAAACTTGTCTATTGTTATGGACATGAAGAAATGGGTGTAGAAATGGTTTAATTCAAGTTCTACCTTCAATTTGATATGGGGAAGTTCCTTGTGAAACTTCTTGAAATTTGGTATTGTGTGGGCATGCTATGTGTTTAGAGTGTGCTCTTGTGAGTAAAGTGTGTTTTGGACATATATTGTGCAATAACATGCTTGTTAAGAAATGTTGATATATGCATGCTTGTGATAGATTGACAATGTGATAAATTATGGTATTTATATGCTCGTAATATAATTTACCATGGACATGTTGATTTATGTTGAATTTGTTCATATGACATTCATTACATATTGAACATGTGAATAGTGTTGCAATGATATTTTACATTGTATATGCACGGAGGCATCACATTCATGGGCATAAGGCATGGGTGTGGGTGTGGGTGTGTGTGCATGGTTAATCAAACACCATACTTGGTGGATGATGGGTTATGTTGAAATGTATGGTTAAATTGATCCATATGATATTCATTACATATGAGATATGACATTGACATGTAATAGTACATTACATTGCATATGCATGGGGACATCGCATATTGAGAGTGTGTGTGCATGGTTGTCGTCTTCACCTCATTTGGTATATGACGAGTGGACTTGAAAATGTTGAATCGATGTTTCAGCTTAATCGCATAGTTTTAGCGAAAATTGGGTCAGGGTTAGCAAGAAGAGCTAGAATATCCCTCGGGTGAAAGACCCGGTGATTGGATTTGCACTTTGTTGGTATAAGAGCCATAAAGTGTGTCAGTGTACGTATAACCGTTGGTGGTAGTCCATGAATTCCGTGTCGGTTAAGAGTCGTTGGTGTAAGTCCATGAATATCCACCCCAAGAAAGACCTTAGTTTTGAAAATGTCATTTGATGTGTTACATAGATGACGCTTTAAATTACACATTGGCACAGCATTGTGTTGCGGGAGTCAGTGAAGACTCGGGGTAAAGTGCATGAGTGAGTCTCACCTCATTTCATGGCATGATATTATGATTTTCCAACATTTAATTATATGTTATTGTTGGGATGGATATTGTTGTAAATTGTTGTAAGTACTCAATGCATATGCATCTGGGGGGAGTAGCCTCTGTAGGAATTTCTCTACTAGACGTGGCTTACCCTATACGGGAACAGATTTTCGGTGCGGGATATACCCCGGTTGATGGCTCTCATTCGGGGTCTGAAATATGAAGAAAAGCCGAGTTATGGCTTTTGAACCGAGTTTTTGTAAAACTATTGTAAAATTATGTTTTTGGACATATAATTATATGGAATTACTTGCAATGGAACTTGTATATATAAAGTTTTATTGTGAAAAGCTATGTTTTTGTAAAACATTCACTAAGTTAGTTTTTGGACTATGTTAATGAAATCTTGCATGCTATTATATGTTTATTTTTAAATAGACCCGATATGGTCAATATTTACTTTTAAATAGACCCAGTGTAGTCAATGTTTACTTTTAAATAGACCCGGTGTGGTTAATATTGTATATTGGATCTTGGATGGGTCATGTGATTGTATGATGCACAGGTTGTGTTTTGGGTAGAGCTTCCCGTACAAAGGAGACTCTGCCCAAATTTTGTTAAATTAAGGACCCCCAGTTTTTGGGGTTTCACAGTTTGGTATCGGAGCATAGGTATACGATTTACCTAGGGCTTGATAGGCATAGGTTTAGACCATTGCATTCATTGTGCATTTCATGTTATGTGCTAAATTTTGCTGCATGATTATATGCTATGTGTTAGGTGAATTGTATGCATGGTAAAAGGCACATGGAAAAGAGAAACACTAGGGTTAGAAAACATAACCTTGGGTTCGGAAAAAGGAATAAACGGTATAGTTCTATTTGTAAATGTCTACTAGTAGGTGGCACACGCACTACAAGTGAAACAAGGAGAAATATCTCAAAGTTTAAATACTTGACTCCTATCTTGAGATACTAAGTAAATGCTCTGTTGCTATTTGACATGTGTGTAGATGGAAAATAGAGGAAGAGGAAGAGGACGCGGTCGAGGCAGAGGCGGTGGACAGAACAACAACCAACCATCACCGGCCTTTGACCAACAGGCCTTTGTGGAGATTATTGGTGCAGCGGCGGCTATTATTGCACAAGCTAATGCTACGGCCGCTACTTTTGCACAGATAGGTGCAAGTGGGAGTCAAGGAGGTTCATACAACTGTATTTAGATTAAACAATTTCACAAATAATGAAATTGATTTTTTATCAAGCAATTGTCGAGAAAAACCTAATTCACCCCATCTTAAATTGCATATTGGGCCAACACGCCATATTTACAGTATTTTAAGAATTTAAACTAACTTTCTTTTCATTCTTGCAATATCTACAGTCATAAATAAAATGGTATTTGTTTCTGTAATGATAATATGAGGCATACTTCTCATTGGAACCATTATTTTTCATAACACTAGAACAATTTTTTTTGTACATTAAGATGTTTATGAAATTTTCATTTCTGTAGAGTCGTTTTCATACATGATTTATTTAAGAACTCAAATACACATCATGCTTCCAATTTCCTTCATCAAACCTCATATGCCTTTTTGAAATCTATATTGAAATCTTCTGTCATAGAAGCTTCTTCCTACATTCATTCCAAGTAGGAGAAAGTTTCGCAACAAGTGTCCCATCTTGAAGTGACTCAAAAACTACAACTTCAGCATCGCAAAGTCTAATTTGCAGAACTTACTAATGATACATAAAATAAGCTTATGCACAATCAAAAGTCGAGTGTGTGATTTAGAGTAATCAGTGAAGCAATCAATAAAGCAATTAATGAATGAGACAAAGATTGGGCAACACAAGCAACACACATATGTATAGTGGTTCGACTAGAGTGACCTACTCCACTTTCGAAAATAGTAACAGTGGCCGGAGACTTTTATTAATAAAGTAAGGTGTAAGAGAGAGAGAGAGAGAAAGAGAGAGAGAGAGCAAATGTAAGCTCTAGGAAAGGTTGGCTAGTTAAAAGAGAGATATCTGTGTAAAAGGGTGGGTAAAGAGATACCCCTCTTAATAGAGAGAGTTTATAATTTATAGGCACAGAGTCTTAGTTGAGGTGGTGGCGTGATGTGATAGGTAATTAATCCTTCAGAAAGAATTGTTATATTTAAGAATAGGTACAATTGAAGATGGTCTCGATCTTCGAGTGGTGGTCATCCTGACAATTACTCCCCACGTGCGCTAATAATCCTGAAATCCTTGAACCTTGGACTGAACTTAACCTACTTTGTAGCTGATTTAGGCTTAATTGATTAGGCTTGACCCAGTTGAATTAGGACTCATCGCTTACAATTCATAAACTTTATACCCGATCGGTATGTTGCCATTTATCTTGAATTCAATATATTTCAAAATTAGAAAACATATACATATCTTACTTCTCAGACATATTTTTGTTCCAGCGTTTTCCAAATTTCTTATGGAGACTTGAAGGATACATGTAGGTCACACAATGGATCGAACAATGTGTTCAGCATATGAACTCCAAAAAAAAAAAAAAAATTATTCTCCTCGCTTTTTTTTATCTTCCTATCCTTATCCATGTCTTCTGAGTTTCAATAGGAACTGGTTACAAAGTCAAATCCAAACATAAGCGATTTTCAATCCAGTGAGAAGTAACATCATCTTGTCCCTCCAATGAGTGAAGTCGGTTCTATTCATATGATCCAGTTTGACAAACTCTTGATTCATGATTTTCAAATACATGGCCATTGCGAATATCACTTGACATGTTCACATGATTTAACTTGAAAGTTGTTTGTGCAAAGAAATCATCACCCAAACTGTCCCTCAATTGAAAAGGTAAAAGATGAAACTTGGGCAACATGTGTCGTTGGTAATCAATTCAGTTTTATTGCTTCACTAGCGACCCCTTGCCAAAACTAAATTTATGTCCCAAAGAAAGCTGAAAACCAAATGAAATGGTTCAGTTCTCCTACTGCACAAGCATCAACTGGGTAGCATTAAACATGTATGCAGATCCTACATTAACCACAAGTGTCGGATCCAAATCCCCAGTTCAATTTTTATCAATCTTCAACAATGTAGTGATGGAGGACCCTCTCATAAAACAATGGTCCCACTGGAATTTGTAAAGGGATCCGAATCATTTAATGTCAGACTATACTTGAGGATCTTGGCAAGATTGAGAGCTATTTGGAATAGAAGCTACATTACCATTTTCTGCATCCAAAGATCCTTGACTCGTTTCTGCACGGACATGTGCTGGTTCAGTTGAAGCTTTAGCAGAAGTAAGGAGGGAAAGGCGGCAGAGTGGGCAGGTTGTGTGAGTGGCCAGCCAGTGGTCAATGCAGTCCATGTGAAATGTATGCCCACAAGCAGGTATCTGTTGAAGCTTATCATTTGCTTGGTAATCCCCTAGGCATACTGAGCATCTGCAACAATAAAGAGAGTACCTCTGATTTTCATTGCCCGAAAAAAAAGGTTGGATTTTCAAAGCATCATTCATGCAATCCAGTTTACCCTTGTTAATTTTGTCATAGTATATCATTCCATAAAAGTGCTTTGCATATGCTCCTTTTGTCATAGTAGCACATTATATNGGCATACTGAGCATCTGCAACAATAAAGAGAGTACCTCTGATTTTCATTGCCCGATAAAAAAGGTTGGATTTTCAAAGCATCATTCATGCAATCCAGTTTACCCTTGTTAATTTTGTCATAGTAGATCATTCCATAAAAGTGCTTTGCATATGCTCCTTTTGTCATAGTAGCACATTATATCACTGTAATGGGAAACTCAACTATCCAAAAGAATAGGAAGTGATTCACTCACTCCTACTACAATGACACAAATAAGAACATTTTTTCAACAATGGTAGCTTATCAAAACGTGGCAGGTTTAATCTCAACCAATCACACCCCCATTGTCATCAATTTTGAACCAGCTAGCAATTAACATTTTTTGACCTTCCAAAATAAAAAAACCATTTTCTCCCCTTTTTGGGCCCGAACTTTGCAATTAACAGTTGATGTTGATTATATTGGCTACAGATTCACGGAACTGTATCGAAACGGATCTGCAGCTGGCAATTTTAATTTGGATGATTTTTAACCATTGACAGAAAATGGTAAATAAAATTAAAAATACAAAAAATTTACATTTGTGTCAATTCTATTGGACGAAAAATGGGGGTATTATACCCAAAAATAATTCTCTAATACCATAGTTAGATCTTTATCATTCAATATGATGTAACGCCCAAAAAGTGAAATATACACTTAAAAGACCCATATACATGCATCATGATTTATGTCTCTTTTAGCCTTTCGTATTTATTGACCACCTAACTTGCAACCCATGGAATTATCATCATCTTCTTTTTTTCCCCAAATAGAAAAGCCAGCTCAGCGTGTGCTTGAAATTAGCAAACATAGAACAACCTTTAGCTGAGACTGTACTAAAAAAGAAGCAATTTTGATGAATTGTTTAAGAGGGGAAACTCTATGATATCCAATTTGTACTTTTCTGTACTTTACTTATACTGAAAACTAAAAAATAAGCCCCAAATATAACATGTAAGCCTAAAAAATAGGAAGTGAACCAAAAAAGTGGTTGTACGCCGATAGTTAAGAAATTACAAGAAAAAAATGATATAAAAAGCCTAAAATGTGAAGTGATATGGTACCGAAATAACTCAAACCGTGTTTAAACAGAGTTTTTTAGAGAAAACAAGACATTTATGAATGTCCCAAATGAGGTGTTTTGTGTTGAGCTAGAACATACGAGTATAAATATGAGATACGAATAAAATACGAAACGAATACAGCAATATGATAAAACTTGAAAAAATTGAATACGAGTATGACTAGAATACTTTTATAATAAAATATATTTTATATTTTACTATTATTTAACCATTTAAAAATTATAATTTTTAGTAATTATTTAACAATAGTAAGCAAAATTAAGAATTTTTATCTTGAAAAATGTATAATATCGTTTCATTATAATATATTCCCATAAAATGAATGCGACCAATTAAAGGAATCAATATCTAACTAGTTAGTTTGTTTATAAATATTTTTTTTTGACATATAATAGTAAATAATACTTAAAAAACACTTGTATCTTAAAATTTAAATAAAATTTTGTTGATGTATTTTATTATTTGTGAACTCGAAAGGAGAAGATATAGATTAAAATTAAAAATTACATATCTTGCTCTATGTATAAAATTATCCACAAAATATTCACATATTTTATTAATTACCAAATATGTATAACCTATATTCGATACATATCACTGATTATCTAACGAGTATCACATCCGATATAAATACATCGACCTTGATAAAGTATTGATGCTTCATAGATGTTAAACTAAGAAATGGAAAACGAAAAAGCAAAACTTGAAGTCTCAATTTGACCAAATGCTCTCGATGAGCGCATATTTTTATCATTACTCCCTTCGTTCCTAAATATTTATCGTTTTACACAATTTTTTTTGTTCCATAATATCTGTTGTTTTATGAAACCAAAGTATAATTAATATTTTTGCTTCCAAATTTACTCTTACCTTTTCAATATATTAGATTAGGTGGAGGCTAAGTGTCTTTCATATTCCTTTCCTTTCCAATACATATTGAATAAGGGTATTTTAGTCTTATGCAATTATTTTTTACTCATATTAAAACTATTTAATGACTTCCTTAATCCCTGTATAAAAACCTTAAACGACAGATATTTAAGAACGAAGGGAATATAATTAATATTCCCTAATTCCTGGTGCCAATCTATAATATCACCCTTCCTAATTCCTATCGAGTATTGCCTAATGTTGTATCAATAAAATTCCTCCAAGTTTTATAACCAGTCCCACCAATATGAGTGATCATTTGAATTTTAGAACAATATACTGAACCCACTAACTTATTATACACATTACAAAAAAAAACTGGACAGGTTGTAATGGGGATTTAATGCCCACTTGTCTGTATTATCACAATCGGATAGGGGATGGGCCGTGGCTAGTTTTTTTTTTTTTAAAAGAAGTGGGGACACTTTGATAGGCATCACTGGCGAGATCACGAGGTCTCTAACCGTCTATTACTCTTATCGGGAACAAACCTAATAAGACTAATATAACTGTCAACCACTAAGTCCCAATATGGAGTCTAAGACTCAAATCTTTAACTTTAAGAAGAGAAGTTCAACCAATATGTCATTGGACCATCCCACTCGGTGGTGCTGTGACTAACTAGTTACGCACAAAGAATCTCATTATTTCCCCTGCCCTTCTTTCTATCAACAATTATCCAATATCAGATTTCTCTGCCAAGCAAGAATTTCATCCATTAGAGAAAAAGAAAATGTCCCTTGGTCAACCCATTTTAACCAAGATACTGAAAAAAAATTCAATTGTAAGTCCAAAAAATATAATAAAGCAAAGGATGAGAACAATTGAGGCTTTTTCTAGCATCGTGTCATCATAATCAACTCAATAAATATAGAACTATGCGAAGATATACAAGACAGAACTAGTTAAAATAGAATCGCAAGGAGAAGCAAGTAACATAGATCAAGAAAGCACACTTACTGCGTATCTCTGACAGAAAAGCTCTCCTTGAAAACAATAATGGGTAGCATCTCTCTGAGTTCTTTCTTCAGGCCCAATTCACACCGCTAAGCCACAATCACCAAAAAAGTTAATGGGTTCATGGACCAAGTTATTTGGATGGCTAAGGTGTTTTTGAAAATGCAAGTTTACGCATGAATTATTACTCATGGAAAGATCGACCCAATGACTTGTTTTTTTTTAAAAAAAAAAAAGACCTCAAACATATCTCTGCCACAAATACAATGGTGACGGATGCATAAGAGGATTGTGAGAGTTTGAGCAATTTATTTTTACACAGCCCAATAACATTGCCTCTATTGAATAAATTGTCCGTGAAAGCGGGAATTCTTGGCTGATTCCAAGTTCTATGTCAACAAAGTTTCATGTGCATTTTAAAAACTTTGGTAGGAAGAGCAAAGTTGTTGCTATTCAGAAATGTGCACTATTTATCACTGCTCAAGTAATTTGGTTGGAGAAAAATGCAATATCTTTTGAGAATAAGTATGAGGTGGTTGAGGTGTTTCCCTCTTTGCATCGCTTTCAGCATCGGCCTCCAATGAATATGCAACTAGGCCTCTTTTTGAAATTCAATCGTGCTATTGGGATATTATTTATAGATATAATTTGGGGACTTAATACATTATGACAATTGTATTGATCCTGTTGAGATCAAGTGACAATTTAATGTTAGATCTATCGATAATCTAATGATTAAAATCATTAAATCTTCAAATTATATTTTTAAATTATCTCCCAATAACATTATTTTTTGGACTGTTGTTTATGACGGGTATATTTACTATTTTTTTTTTTTTACTTTTATTTAGTGCTCTTTTATGGTTTAGCATTTTTAGATGGACGACTTGTGCGTCGGTAGCTTTGTACTGCATCCTATATATTTTTTAATAAATTTTTTGTGTCATTTCAAAAAAATTGTTTCAAACGAGAGTTATCTTTTGAGAAAAAATGAATGTGTTGGGTGACAAAATCATATTATTTAAGACACAAAATGAGAAACATACAAAGAGTAAGTGTAATTTTCAAAATTTAGAGGATCTAAGTGTAATTTTCTGTTGAAAACACCCAAAAATAAAAACAAACCAATGTACTTACTGTGGAGATCTCATTCGGGGTCTGCAAGGAGATCCTCATTCGCAGTGACGACCAATCAACACTTCGACGGCGAAGATAGAACAAATAAAACAATAAGAGAAGGATGAAAGTAAAGAAGATTGGTACTGAAAAGATGAAAGCTTGGTAGAGCTTCAACTCAGCTGAAGCTTTTGAGCAACAACTAGTTGGTTCTTCCTCTGAGTATTTACTGTAAGACATCACCAACAACGCTCCAAACCCCACAAGAAGCCCATATATGCTTCAAGAAGAGTTTAAGAGAAAATGGAGCTCTTACGGTGCAAGTGCTCAGGAAGACTCAGATAAGAAAAGGGAATTTCAAGACAGATTCGACAGAGTACAGAAAATAACCAATTGAAAAGACTCAGATCCGAATCAGAAATAGAGAGTAGAGAGAGAGGCAATATATTCTTAAAATATATATATATATTAACACGAGGGAGGCAATATTGAAAAGAGCTGTTTAACTGCCTACGATGAGTAAAAGAGATTTAGAATTGGTCACACACGAAAATGTGTTTGGGTAGCTGGACTGGATACGGTAGGATATCTTTTTTTATATCATAAGTCATCCAATTCAAACTTGTTTATCCACTTGTAATCCAAGGTTAGGGATATCATCCAATCCAAACTTTTGTTTAGGAAACAAATATATATTTATGTGGGCCCCATAAATTATACTA